TGTGTGTGTGTGTGTGTCCTGTAATAGAATGAGCTGCAAAGAGAGGTGACGTTGGTGGACTGGCATCTGTTTGTTTGGGAGACACTTGAGAAGCTGTGAAGTGACAGGAAAGGCTGCTTGGCACCACTGAGACGCAGAAGTGTGTGTGTGTGTGTGTGTGTGTACGTGCAATAGAGGAAAACCAGAGAGAGAGTTTATATGCATGCAGACATTTACATGTGTCTTCAACCATCATCAGCTTTTCACTTTTAATTTTAAAATCAACACGCCATTTTGTTTTAAGTTGGGCTGAGACTGACCGACTAATTGCAAAAAAAATCAATCAAGTCTGAAATCAATTTTTCAGACACAAACAACTCATTTTAAAAAAATGGATAAACTACATTGTTTTTAGACTCAGTATGTTAAAATGGACTACTTTTAGGCCAACAAAACATATAAACCACTTCTGCTCTAGAATTGTGTTCTGAGCGATGTAAAGAAGCCTTTGCAACAGTATTTAGAGTTTCTTGCTGGGAAGTTAAAATATGACAATTACAAATAATGAAAAATTAGAAGCTGTCTTTTTGTCTTTTTGTCAAGAATGATTTGTAGGTTGTTGTATGGAGGGGACTCTTGACTTCAGAATATCTGAAATCCTGTGACAAAATGGGATTCACGGAATAAGGACCTGCCTTACTCAATTAAGTCTAATACAGGACTTTCTGCTATTAATGCGGCATGTACCTCCACCCATGGGTACCCTATGTTAAACTACATCATATCTGCTCTGAATGTTTATTCAAGCTTAGGGGCGTACTGGTGCACACCTCAGTGTATCACACAGAAACAATGTCACACCTGTGGGTATGTGTGTGTGTGAGTGAGAGAAAGGGGGAGGGGGGGTTGAAAGAGAGTAAGTGGTGTTTGTGTGTCTGAACGTGAATAGATACAGGTGTTTCATTTCCCCCCTTGATGACGCACAAAGGACCCTAGTGAATGGTCTAGTCTCTGCAAGTGTGTGTGCATGTATATGTTTTTTACAGATGATCTCTTCTGGGCATTTGATATAGTCCAACTTGTTTGTTTGCCTCCACGTAGAAGTTGTGAGTATCCCCGGGTGGTTTTGAGTGTGGGAGCCATGATGATGGTCAATCAAAGATACACAAACTGCAGCTTTTAGAAGCAAATTCCACAAAGGGCTGTAACCAAAAACCTACAAGAGTGTTTTCTTGGTTTGGTGTCAAGGGGACACAGCCTTGGGGGTCCTTCGGGCAAATCCTCTGGCAGCAGTCCGGTTGCTATGGTGCTGATCACACACAGGAAGAGAAATGCATGAGGAGAGAAATGGGACCTTCCCTTTAATTGTTGTGCTGCTGTTTTCCCAGCTTAATCTATTCCCTGGCTGCTGTTGGACAATTACCGAGGCATCTCATCTACTCAGATGTCTTTGTCTCTTGTCTTGAATGATGCATTTCTCTAATTATCCTCTGTACAAGGAGTCTGAGACACTCCATTTTAGGTATCGGACAACATTTACCCCTTTATTATTGTCAGTACACTCTCATCCAGATGAGCTGTACCAGATGTTCAGCGTGATTCACTGTATATTTTCCTGCTGTATCAGGCTTTTATGTAGCTTGATACAGCTTTATGTCTGTGTCCTTGACTGTCTACAGAGTTTTATTTTTGCTGCCACATGAGAATCTCATAATTCTCATGGCTATTTTCACCTTTGAATTGAAAGTATATGTTTTATGTTGGGAGTGTTTCATGGCGCAGGGAACTAAAATAATTTTTTTCCACCATGAACTTTCACTCATGAACAACACTCATTAGAGAAATGAGGAAATCAATGCAGAAGAGCCCGACTGTAAAGCTGTTTAATGAGCCGGATGAAAGGTAACAAATCATAGCTTAATTACACTTCCACTAGTGCACAAAGGTGTTACAGTTTCTGATGAGTGAAAATACACATTTTGTATAACAGAACACACAATGGCTATATTTATGTATTTTATGTATGTATTTAAAAGTGTATATATGTTTATAATA